AATTTAATATATTTAGTATACTTTATTGAATACTGAGTTTTTTACAAAGTTTAGAAATTTTAAATTCGTGAATTTTGTTGTTGAATAAACTATCATTTTTTAAAACATTAGTTTAATGAAATTAAATTAAAAAACTTTTCAGGAAATGAAGACTTTAGAAGTCTTAAGCATTTCCACGCAGTCTTATCAAGGTTAAAAGAAAATAGCCATGATCCCTTATGTCATTCAAAAAACTCTATATGTGTGTGTATTAAAAACCTTTCATTTACTGCCTACATACATATATTTTATTTTTAGATATTGGCTTGTAAGTTGGTCCATCCACGTTGGTCCATCCACGTTCTTCCAGGGACGGTGATTCCTAGCCTAGTTAGGGCATTACAGTGTAACATAATGTACTCTGTTCTTACATATTTTTCGGAATACAACCTGCACTGGAAAGGATTCATTTCCGCGCTTAGCATTACCCTGCAGGGAGCAGCAAGAAATACTGTACTTGTTATAATGTTGTAGCTTGGTTCTATTTGACATTTTGGTCTATTTGCATTTAAATCGATTTTTTCACCTGAATTTGACACGAGTTTAAACTTTTAAGCTCTATTAACTGCTTCGGTTGCTTCAAGAGGCAAATTGTAACTTGCTTTCAGTAAAAAAATAATAATAAGTGCGCATGGGCCTCGCTGCGGAAGAGAAGCTTCTCTCAATTCATTTCATAATCGTTCTACAATACTATTGGGTATATGTTCCAATCCACTGAACTTAACAGGTCAATTGTGGGTAAGATAGTAAAGAGTTTTCCTAAAGCAAATTAATGACAGATGGCGAGATAGTTCGAAAGACTTTTGTTATTCTAGCACAAAAGTGTTTGGAAAAAAACGCACTCTCATTCACCACTCGTGGTGAAAAGCTATTTCGATAGAAAGCACTTGTTTATAATTTGCTCGCATTGCTCACACGGTCGCCACGGCCGAGTGAGCAAAGCACAGGCGCGCTATTCAAGAGATCCTACTTCAAGTTCTCGGGCAGCGGATGTTTTTATTAATTTCTTGAATTCACACTTTTTTATTTGTAAAAAAAATTTTTTTTTTATTTTTTTGGAACTTTTTAATTTTTTTCCTATTTAAATAATTTTGTTTTTTCTAGGTTTAGTTTAATTTTATTTTAATTTCTAGATTATATCGTTTTAAAAAGAAAAAATGGATTTGTTTTATCTCATATAAATTTCAGGATCCTGTTTTTTGTCTTCTTTAATTTAATTTTCTTTTAGTTTTTACATTTTAACGATTTTTAAAGCAAACTATGACTATATGCACTTTTTAATTTAATTTTGTTTCTTTTTAAATGAAATTTAATTTAAAATATTTGAAGCTATTGTTTTAAAAAGTAAAACATTTTTTTTTAACTTTTAATTTTAAGGAACTTTTCTAATTTTTATCTGTTTTTTTCTATTTTTCGTTTAATTTTATTTTAGTTTCTATATTTTATTGTTTTAAAAAGACAAAATAAATTTTTTAGCTCATTTAAATTTAAATGCTTTACTCTTTTAATTTAATATTTATATATTGTTTAAAAGTATTTTTTTTTTATTAAATTTTTAAGTATAAATTTTTTATTTTTTATGGTTCAATTTTTTTGCTTTTCTAAATTATTTATAAAACTTGTATTGTTTTAAATATAAAAATACGTTTTTTTAAATTTCATTTAGTTTTTTAAACATTTTAATTATTTAATTTTGCTTTATTTTCATTTTATTTATTTTCTATTTATTTAGATAATAAAGTTTATCGGTAATAATTATTATTATTTTAATTTTTGACTTATTTTTTGCTTTTTCTAAATAATTTTTTAAATTTTTATTGTTTTAAAAATAAAAAAAATGTGTTTTTTTAGTTTCACTTAATTTCTTAAATATTTTTATTTATTTTTGTTTTATTTTATTTATTTTTTCTTTTTTAATTCAATTTTCTTTAGTTTAATTAAAAAAACTTCTTCCTAAATGCGAGCAGACCTTACAATTAGCTTGTCGAAAGGCAGTAAAGAGCTTTCAAGGTAGTTGCCTGAATTGGCCTTCGAAAGACTGTGGTGAGTTGAAATACCGTTGCCAGAATTGCCCTGTAAAATAATGCAACAAAGCACAGCGGTTTTATATATGGTTTGCTTTCTTTTTATTTTTGCTTATCTTTATTCTCATATTTAACTTATCTTTATATTCATCTTTATTATTTTCTTCACTTACCTACACATCCACGATCACCTTCATTCCTTTTATTAACCTTAATCTAAATTTTATTCGTAAACCGTTACTAATCACGTTTGCCAAGCATTAATACATTTAGGAGGCATTATTGACCCCAAACATCCACCACACCTATTGCATTCTTCAAGTAGATTTTTCAATTCTCTACCGCCATTAAAAAAGGTTTACTTCAAAAATTTTTACATCAATATTCAGTGTGGAAAGATATTATTTGTAAATCCAGAACAACCAAACATAAGCACTAAAATATTTACATACCGTCGCCTCAGAAAACGGATGACGAATGTGCAAAATCACGATTTTGGGATTTTGATGCAGATTTACTAAGTTGGACATGCTCTTTCGATTTCTGCAATCCATTTTTTTATATCTCCATTAGTTTTTGAGATATTTCGTGCGCATTTTGTCGTATGTTACATAATATTAATGATTGGGTATGCCTTTTGTTGTATGTGCTGAAAATGCGTCACATACGACGAATTCCCATACAAACGTACCTTTTTTTTAATCATAAAACGTTTGTCGTATGTGGCACATACGACAAATTCCCATACAAATG